CGTTAGGCGGGTACCCGTACCACGTGATTTTTATGACATTCGGATCACGTCACACCCGTCTTCCCCTATTCCCGTTCTGCGCGAAAATATGAGTATCGGTTCCCGGTAGTGCACCGTGGACTCGCGAAAATATCGTTTTTGATAACAAGTAGGAAATTATGGTCTCTTAGATACCAGAAAACATCGCTAAATAATTTTTCTGATCTTATTGTAAGCTATGTGTATGCAGAATAATCTGTTACAAATTTCATTCGGGCATCTATTTTTTTCCTGTGAAAAAAATCGGATAAACAATGCGAAGTAATATTGTTTTAACAAAAAACATTTCTGCAAGTGCACCAGCACTCATGCTTCTTGTTAAAATATTACCTAGCAACGTGTTTTTTCGATTTTTTTCCGGAAAAATTGGATACCCTTGTAATGTTACTTATGATATCATTTACGCTTTGACGTCTACTTATGGTGAACAGCCGTTCAAAAAAGCGGCATCTTTGTATTAGTCTCTAACGCTGGAAATAATGAATTTCAATACCATATTCAGAGCTGTCCATTTAAGCACCATTAAAAAATGTTTATTAGAAAATCATTACAGTCGATCTGGGATTTATTGATTACAAAGAAGTTGTTAGTAGAACAGGCTGCGTTGTCCTTTCCAGTAGCTGTAATTTTATCTGTAAAAATAACATAGACTCTTGCTTCCGGTTACTGGTCCGTCATCAGTATAACGTAATTCAAATACTGGCTAAGTATGTGCAGAATCTGTCATAAAAAATAAAAATTAATAATAAATGCAGCTTGTTCAAAACACCACTGATATAAGCGGAATTGATCTTGCACATTACATTAACATGCAAATTGAATAGTTAACGGATACGACATCCAAGAGTACTGCATTGTCCTAGTTGAGCACATTTCATGAGTTCCTGCAGTAGTTGCATTTTTCTAATGTTCAGATCTAATTTAGCGATTTGAACCTCTGTCAATTCGGTCATTATACTGCCACACATGCTCAATTAATTAGATAGCTGTTTCATTGCCCTTTGGAATTATTATTTATATATATTTATATATATTATTCAGAATATGGTGTTTTAAGTTCTAAAAAGTAGAGATGATCAAAATAGTCAAAAAATTTATATCTTGTTTTATTCCTACCTGACTTGAAATGTAGTCATAATATTATTATCAACCGTTTCGCTAGCAATAAAATACGGATTTGTCTACGCGGCGTTGACGGGTCTTACAGAATTATGTGTCACTTGTCGATATGGGCAGTTTTGAAATATCACTAGATAATCTATCGTGATGGATACTTGTAAACAATACGTTAAAAACGATGTGCATAAGATGTTAATATTTCTTAAAGCATTACTTTGGACTAGACCTTCACAAACATATGGATTTTAAGATTCTATACCATACCCCTTAGTAAGAATGAACAGGGCAAAGTATCTAGCAGTTGTCGAGGTAAGTTCAGAACTGTTTTTAACGACAATAATGGTATAGGTGACATATTGCAACAAAATAACGCACACTTGCATGTCTCTAGGCGGTCGATAGTTTGGTTTGCGAAGAGTAATAATGAAATCTTGGATTGGCTATCTTGCTCTAGAGACCTCAGACCTATGAAAAACCCCTGGGAGATTTCAGTTCGACAAATGAATGAGGAGAACAATACACATGCATCCATAAATAACCTAAAAAGTGTGTAAAATAACGTTTGGGCCAATTTAGAGCCTGAAATATCGAACAGTTTAGTCCTTATCATGTCTGTCAGACCTTTTGACTTTACTAGGAAATCCGGCAAACCAATCAACTATTAAGATGAAAGTTTTTGCTAAATAGGATGTAGTGTTGCTAAAGATATGGTCCACTCACCTCTGGCTTTCTATTACCTAACTTGTTAAATTAATTTCACTAAGCTCCATATTTATTATTTTTGTTTGTTATATCATCCTTGCACGTCATATAAAGGTACATTTAAATCAATTGAAACAAAAAAAAATGCTGTTGGGGTTATAGGTTTCCTCTCCAGCTTAGCCTTATTAGACTGGACTATACTTTTCGAATTTACGGCCTTCGCTCATTGTCATCTGTGAAGTGATCGAAACTCAAACTAGCAGTAACTGGCTTCCAGAGCAGCTGCCATACGCGATGTGGACTGACTTATTTTATTGCTCAGTATACATGTACAGAAGTGCACTGCACCAGCAGAGACAGGACAGAAGCAGCTTTATTTGTTTACAGCGAGCGAGCCTGCTGAAATACGGATCCATAAAGCCGTCGGATGCTATATGCGTCAAGCTGGAAGTTTTTCTGCTGAATGCAACTGTGGCTGCACGATGTAAATGTCATTTCCTGGATTCGCGATACATTCTTGGGACTATACTCAGTGACAAAGGAAGTAGGACATCAAGTAGGAATTATTTTATTTGAGTTAGATTTTATACACATAGACATACAGAGCAGAGGTCACTTGATGTTGCACTGAAGACATTTAATCGAAATGTAAAGATCACTGTGGCCGCCTTGCCTTTTATTCATACCGTTTCTTGTTCTTTCCTGTGGAATAATAATCAATAATGCTTAGAAATTACGGAGCGTTGCACTTAATAAACTATAAAGAAATGAAAACGACTGAAAACGGCAATGGAAATTTGAATTCTCAAAGCAACTCTATGCGAATTTTAAGTAATATTGTGAGAAGTGTGATTAAAATTAAGGTGGAAACATTTAACATATTGAGTTTTGTGTCGTATAAAATGATAGAAATAATGGATAAGGCTATATTTTAGAGCATATCGCAAATACTTCATTTCTTACTTTAAAATGGAATATTAGGATGTAACTTTTAGGAAAATATGATTTTTTCTTTGAAGAACCCTCTGCTTGCTATTTTATAGAACTTCAAAGTTGCATTTTTGGTGGTAATGCTCTAGAATAGAATACTGTTTTATACGCTGTCTTTCTTTGCTCTTTGCACAAAAGGATGCTCTAAATTATAAGAATATAACATACTCTGTATAGTACTAAGGAAAATAGATGTGGAACTGTAAAAAATAGTTTCAAAACCAGCCGCGTTATTACACATTAGCTTATTAGCTAAAATACATTCGTAAATGATGATATTTACTTGGTAAACTGTGTAGAGGTGTTGTGGTGTGATTTTTCAATGTCTTCTTGAAATTCCTTGATCTTCTTTTGGCGTATTTTCAATGAGATCAAAGTCTTTGCATTTATAAGAAATATTTGAACGTACAAACAATTCTCAATGGCCATTTTATAACGTTCATTTCTTGACAGGTAAGATAAATGATGTTCATTGTTGGCAAGTTGTACCTTTTTTGTGAGAAATACTAAATAAAAAATCAGGTTATTTGCAAAATAAATGTCTTAATTTATTGTAAATGGCTTGATTTATCAGAACTCGTCCCAATATTTACCAAAAACTAGACGAAATTACTACTACTAAACAGCGGAAAATGCACCAGCTGCTCGCGTGACATACAAAATCCAAAAGGCACCAGCGTCGTTGCATATAAAAATACCCAACTTCGATTGGTCGATTTGGACCACCTCGCTAGGTCCACCCAACATATAACCGTCCAACATTATAGTTAAGTAAAGATCAACGATCATTCCATCAAATTATCAAAAAACTTGCATGTTGTTTTTATTATTTATTGATTGGCAACAGCTACTTTTTCAGTTATTTCTTGTATATATCACATTTAATTAGGTATATTTTGTGACATCAGCTCCACTTTAAATAATTCTTCAAGTACATACCTAAAAAAGTAAATAGATTATGACTATAATATAGGAAAAACAACAACCGAAACAGTGTATGTTATACTCATATAAATTTGAGAAATCTTCTGTGTAAACAAGAAAAAAACAGCTTACAGAGCAGTATTATATACCACAGTATTACCACCCAAACTGCAACTTTGAAGTTCTATAAAATAGCAAACAGAGCGTTCCTTAAAGGAAAAATGATATTTTTGTGCAAGTTACATCCTAATCTTTCATTTTGAAATAAGAAATGAAATATTTACAATTTGCGCTAAAGTATAGTTCAGCCAAATAATGTACTAGGGCAAATAAACATTTTTGATTGAAAAACCACAAGAGGCGCAATCAATTATGCTAATTAATAAGCACCATTCTATGGCTTTTTTGTGCATAGTTACTAAACATTTTAGAATTCAACTTAAAATCTGTTGATTTTGATAAAAGACAAACTAGTTATGAATTCTCTCGATTTTTAACCGTCCGACTATATTCACGTTACTTCTAGGTTATTTTTGTTATTGTACAAAATTCACTTGCACCATGTCCATTTAATCCCGAAAAACCTTTTGCAATTATCAAAACACATTATGGTAAACAAGCAGACATGTTACGGGAGCTGTGCAAGTGCACACTACAACGTGGGGTTGTATAAACTAACTATTTACACATGATAATGATGGAGTTTCAGAGATTACAGACCCAGTGAGTCCATGCGTCTGCTTTACTAGTGGATCCGAATTAGGGCACTTTCATCTACGAATGCATGCGCTAACCCAGATGTGCTCAATGGCCTATAAGAGAATGATTCTTACCTTGTCTAGCTAGCTGATTGGAAAATGAAACAAAAAATCAAAAATGTCTGGTATGTATGGGATTTGAACCGCTGACCAAAAATGCAATGGAAACGCCTGTTTGAAGTTAGATGTGCCTCATCACGTCTACAAACAGTGATGCTCAAATTTGCAAAAGGGTTATCATAGTCCAAGGACCAACCTCTCATGTAATGATTTATGTGAAAATAAAATATTTTAATTTTTTGGATTGTTCTTACAACGTCCTTGTAGTATCAGTCTGCCACATTTTACCATAATTCATTTTAAACTCTTTTAGATACAAAACATATAATTTTTTCAGACGGATTTTATCGATTCCACAATCTCCCAGTCTATTTGCAAGCGTGACAAGTTTCGCATGTCACCATGACAATGGTGTTATCTTTCATATACGAGTTCTATCTCTGATTTCAAAAACACAGCACCAGATCGTACTCAACCTGCCAACAATTTTTTTCACCATTAATTTCCATCCAAAGACGCTTTCCAATAAACTTTCCTTCCCAGTCTGTACTTAGCCCCCATCTCGACCGTTTGTAGTAACGCGCTGGTTAAGTACTCGAAGACGATTTTGGCTCTTTGAACACTGGCATCAAATTGGAATTACAAAGTATTCCCCCGCGTTGAAACAGTATTAAAACTGCATCGGTCTTTAATCGCCTTTAGGTGCTTTCCCCGATTGCTACATCGGTAAGTGCTCGTTGCCTTTGAATTTAAAATGGAAACGACATCAGTTGAACTTGATAGGGTTACGGAGCTAACAGGGTCCAGATTGGTTTAATGAACCTGATTGTTTATTTATTCGGAGTTGATCGCTTTTGAAACACTATCGAGTATTGCGTCATAAAGTTCAGAGTCTTTGATAATAAATAAAAAAGACGTCACCAATGTAAAAGCAGTAGAAATTAATAACAAATTTTTGTAGGTGTGGCCAACTCACCGGACACGAGAAGAAAAGGTATGGATGTTTTTACTCAATTATGCCAAACAGGCTGAATGGCGTGTGGTGACCCACTAAGTCATGCCAGTGAAACTTTTGTAAAATGTGTCAACGATGCCATCCCGATATACAATGATAATGATCATGATCATTAAGAATTGGTATGTGAACTTGTGTACTAAGTAGCTGCTAGCCCATTCGCCTGCTTGCTCTGAGCGCCACCTATGGAGGCTAAGATACTACAGCTCACATTTCGCCAGCATGATTTATGGGCTTCAAGCTAACGATAGCCTATAGAGCAGCGTTTCTCAACCTTTCAGCATTCGCGACCCAATTTTCAATAATTGTGTATACATTAATAATGTACGTTGAGTATTTTGACGCTAAACTTACACTACAACCTTAATTACATTGTCAAATCCGGAATCAATGCCAATGCGTGTTAATTGCAGATCACGGTATTAATATATACAGGGTGACTTCGAAGTTGAGTCATTTATTTTAACAGTGAGTAGATCTGATCAAAATAAATGTTTTTTTCGTTTAACATTTTTCTGGTAAAATTAAATTAACAAAGTTATAGCCCTTTAGAAGTTTGAGTACCGCCCTGTCTCAATAATAATATTATGTGCTCGTGTTTGGCAACAACGGATATAATCCGCCTTATCGGTTCATCGCATCGGAAACAAAATAGCGAAAGAATTTGAAACGCTAATCACGATGTTTTTACAACAATTTTATTCAGTTGTATTCAGTCAATATGTCAGTCGGTAACGCGTGAGTGAATAGTGGGGTTTGTTGCGTGGCTCAAACGAAATAAAAAATCGCACATGTTTACGAAAATGCTGAACTTGTGGACATGATTCCTATTTACGGGGGGGAGTCTTTACAAAATGCTGCCGCGGCATCACGGATTTATGCGGATCGGTTTGCAACCAACCCGTCGTGTAGTACAGAGGGCTTGTGAATCAGGTGACTTAAGACCTCACAGGGGAGGGCATGCCGGTGTTCCAAGACCGCACGATCAAATACAGGTCCGCACTGAAATACTTGTCGGGAGGATACTTTATAAAACAAGGTAACATTTTTTTTTAATTTTTTTTATTTTTACACACATGTTTTGGTTTATCTTCCTTCTACAATCATTATCTGAAAATTAATGACTCAACTTCAAAGTCACGGTGTATATACCAAATTATGAATACATTTTTGAGTGGACTTAAGCGAGCATTCGATACTAGTGAAGCAAAAAGAAGTGCACAGACGAGAGAGGTTCGAAAAATACTATCAAGAAAATATTCTCAAGAATATATATCAAATTTTGGGCTTACATGTAGTGAAGTCAATAAAGAAGAGGGGCTTTTTATTGGCTTTAGGACTAAGCCATGCAGCCAGAAACTAGGTTGTATTATATATATATATATATATATATCTAATTATGGACAAACACACGACGTCACAACATCCATGGCGAAGGCGAGATTCGAACTCGCGGCCCGGCCGGCCGGCTGATCAGTAGCACGACACTCTGACCCACGCGGCCAACCGAGGTCCCCGAAGAGGGGCTTCTGTGCTCAAAAACTTTAGCAGCAGGTAGCATGAAACCTAATAAACTTAAACGACATTTGGAAACGCATCATAGTGAGTACGTTAACAAACCCACATAATTCGTCGAGTTAAAATTAAAATCATACGCAAAGCAAAAATTATTTAAAAAAAAAACTTGACTGTGATTAAAAAAGCTCTACTTGCCTCTTATAAAGTTTCATAAGAAATAGCCAGGTGTAAGAAGGCAAAGCAGGCCCGTGAGAGTCACTAGTAATTATTATTTTTTACAATTAATATTATTAAACTTATTTTTAATTCAGTATTGATAAATACAGTCCTGTTTTTAAGTGTATCTACTATATCAGTGTTAATATGTATTTTATTTTTCATCATGTCAGAATTTTGTTTTTCTTTCCTTTAGTAAATTACTCAATGTTGTTATTGTTTTTTTGTTGGATGCGCTCGCGCCCCGCCCCTCTTTCATATTGAAACGCCTCCCTAGGGGGCGCGCCCCACAGGTTCAGAAACGCTGCTATAGAGTATGCTTGTGAACCGGCTGTGACGAAGAAAATATGGTCGAGTATTTATATCACATCTGGATGCTTGTATGTATTGGTCTGCATGTTTGTTGTATCAGTGATATATGGTTATTGATACCTATGCTATGGGAGAAAATTATTACTGAATTAGTGTTATAAGAGTATATATTAGCTGGAAAGGCTTTGATTGATGGTGGTTAATCGGAAACTACGCTGCGCTGCGATCATTGGAGGACAGACAAATAAGGTCAGACATATTTTAAGAGCAAGAGGTTCGTAAAAATAAGAGTTATCCACTTGGGATGTAGTGAAGAGCGTTGCTTAACAAAGCTAACTAATGTGTGGCTTTGAATATATCCCAACTAAGCGTATTTGGGACAAGAAAGACACGGAATCATTATCAAAACAGATTATTAGTAATCTAGTCATCACTGTGCACTACAGTGCTTCTGTCAGGATACAGTATAAAACTTACAGCCAAGGTTATAGAAACTATAAAGCGCAAATGTTATGACGTTTAGGCAATACGCACAGCTGCTACACGTGAACATGACGAGAAAAACATGTAGTTCCAAGGTGACATTTTTCCCGGAAAAAACTACATAATGTCATTAAAAATCAATATAATGCCACTTTTTATGATACTTAATACGGGTGCGGCATGGGTATTACGTGTGACCTTATATCGATTTTTTTTTGATATTATACTGGTTTTTGTTGACATTATGTAGCACTGGCTGATGGACACTTGTAAACTCGTTTTGTAGTTGCACGTGTTGCCTAAACGTCACGAGTCTTCAGTTATCAATGTTTGGCTATGATGTGATGTAAAATCTGCTTCAGAAATGGCATTACCGGAGGTAACGGGGCGTAGTCAGGACTTGTGTGCTAATAATATGTGTTGATGATAGTTCCATTGGATTCTTGTCTCAAATACACTTACTTGAGATTCAGAGCTGGAAATTAATTGCGCATCCACTTTTTCTTATCCATTCTGGAGATTTCATATTATACAAATTAGCTGAATTTCAAAAATGAGAGAGACAAGAAATAATTATATTCACTGTATACTATCGAATTACACGTCATATACTTGCTAACAGTAATTACACACAACGTGGGCACGGAGGTGATTTCGTTTTTTACGTTTTGAAAACACAAAAAAAAAACGAAAAAATCGTAATTGATAACTTTGACCATAACCTGTCTTCCTAAAGCACAACATATAAATAACCCGCCTGGCACAGCTAATTGATACCTATACTTTATTGGCAGCATATTCAGTAATGATTTTCTCACACAGGTAAGTATCACTGATTTTATACATATGCAAACCAATATCCAGATCATCCAGATGCGATCTTGCTATTCAACCAAATAACCAACTGTCTTCTCAGAGACTCAGAGATGAAAACTGTAGACCATTCGCCTTCACAAAACATATTCAACCAGCAATGCGTGTACGTGTAGTTGTGTCATTCCTCCATAGATGGACGCTCACAACGATCCCAGTGAGCAAACGTGGAATGACTGTTTGCACCCTGAAATCTACATAGTCTGCAGGATGACATCCCATAGGTTTTTTTTTGACGTTTTATAGGTTTTTTACATAATACCCGTGCCGGTCTGGTAGGGCTATAATCAAAAGTCCTTTGGAGCGCCAACAATGATGGACGTAGCGCAGCTTGTTAATAGGTACAATGTCAACTCTCACTTTCCAGTTGCGAAATATTTTACTCAAGACGCGATGACATTTTAATACAATTGCACTTAGTTATCACCGTTATTATCCGTCCATGTCATAACTCTCCGGAAATTGCTTTACGGCTGGCTTGCCCGAAAGTTTTTAAGTGACCATTAAAAGTATGAGTAAATGATTGACCGAGGAGGCGCCTTTAGCAATTATGAAGTTTTCACTCGAAAAACTCTGGAGTTGTCTTGTCGTAAACGTTCAATTTAGAATTCATAAAGATTTTCGGAGTGTCTGGGTGTTTGTAAAATGAAGCTGTCGAGAAAGCATAATAGATAAATTTATTGGGGAGCTAAGTTGGTCATTATTAAAAAGAAAAGCACTAAGATTGTTGTAGAGCTTTAACTTCGAGTTACTTTCTTGTTGGAGAACTTGACGTGTAAAGGACTTATGGTCACACTTATAGACGTTACTTGAAGATTGAATTGAGTTTGAGGAATCATCTCTTCTTAGATTCTTTTTTTTTCTTGTGATTTTACTTCCTACGCCACTTTATAGGAAATATTTTAATCGAAAAAATTCCGAAAATGACATGTTATGCTGTTTTGGACTTTATGTGACATGCTCATCACGAAAAACCATGCCACTAATTGCCGTCGGTCTGTTTGTCGGTCTGTCTGCAAATCCTTGGCCCGTCTTGGAATTAATGATAATATTTGGATGGAATTTTTACACAAGGCCACTTCTACGCCAGGGTCGAAAGAGCTTTGTAGTTTTTGAAAATCGGATTAGTGGCGGCGGAGCTAGGCCTTTAAAACAAAAATAATGATAATCTTTGTTTTTTGATGCTCCAGAAGCTCCTGGTCAGTTTCAGAAACGTTTTTGTTGGGGATAAAAATTTGGGGTGGTATGGGGTGGAAAAGCGTATTAGCCAATTTTTCTAACATAGTATATTTATATGCTTCCAACATCGGTATTTCTATGCACACCTTATCCACATTACACAGAGCATATATTTTCCTGTTCATTTGCTTTAAAAACCTCGAGAAATGTTTTAGATACTTTGCTTCTGCTCTCTGGGCTCATAGGCGGGCATGCGGCTCTGGTTGAGTGTTCTGCCACTAGTATTTCGGTGCCGCGCTAAGCATTGCTGCAGCTGCCGCGTAGTGCAGCCACTTGCCTGAATTAGCAACGTTGCCAGATGGACGGTACTACCGGTGGAGCAAACAAAAAATATCTATGGACAAGTTGGATGGGCTTATTCACTAACTTGATCCATTGTACATGTTCGTAACTGACTTTTTTCGCAGAAGGTCTAGCTTATGCTGAACTTAATCACTGATAAGCTTGTTACGGCGTTGCGTGGAAGCTGCAGAGTCAACCTACTTGACGCCATTTTTGTGAGTCGAGAATGGTACTAATCTTTATTTTTATCATTTCCTTGCTACACTCACCGCCACCTAATCTAATTTCAAAACCTGCAAAGCTTATTGTTCCTCGACATAACGGTAACTTTGTGTCAGTCTTATAAAAACTCGAGTGATACTGTTCCAATAGAGAAAAAGAGTGCGTACGCCAAAAATGGAAATTTTACCAACTTTTGTTTTTATCGTTTTTTGACCGTAATTCTACCGCTACTTTATCGATTTTGAAAACATATAAAGCTTTTCCGTCCTTGGCATAATAGTAAGATTGTGTCAGAATGTCATCCAAATACGACTGGTACCACTGAAGTTACAGAGGGGCCAAAGATTAACGGAGAGACAGACAGATTTTTTGTGATAGATATGAGGAATGTCCTTTAAGTTTTGCATATAGAAACATAGTAGGCCGCGCGGATCGAACGTCAATACTGAATTCAAAGTTTCACAACAATACGTGCAGTGTTCTCACTACAGTGAATTTTTAAGTGTCACCAAATGGAACCCAACCGAGAACATTTTTGCGCAATAATTTATCACAACTTTCAGAGACAATTATCGCAACAAGAATGCCTTGCTGAGTTACTGTCTGTTTTCGGCAACGAAGCGCCACATCAGTCGACAATTTCCCGTTGGTATGGAGAATTCAAACGTGGACGGGTGAGTCTTAGCGACGATTCCAGGGTGGGTGCACCAACAACGGCAGTCACCCAGCGAAACGTCGATGCTGTGCGCAAACTCATCATTGAAGATAGACATGTGACATATCGGGAGATTGAGGCGTCCTTGAAGATCTCAAAGACCTCAATTCAAAAAATTTTACATGAAGAATTAGGAGTAAGAAAATTAGTTTCTCGTTGGATACCCCACTTGTTGACTGAAGAGCAGACAGCAGCCAGGGTTAATTGGTGTCAAAAAACGCTTGACCGTTTCAATTCTAGAAACTCGAAAAATGTGTACAGCATTGTTAGTGGTGATGAATCGTGGATTTACTGTTATGAACCAGAAAATAAATGACAGTCGGCTGTTTGGGTGTTCCAAGGTGAAGAAAAGCCAACAAAAGTCATCAGTTCTCGAAGTTTTTCGAAAAAGATGGTCGCGACATTTGTGTCAAAAGCGGGTCATATTGCAACAATTTCCCTTAATGAGCAAAGAACTGTTACTGCGGATGGGTATACCATCATTTGTTTGCCAAAAGTCATCACCGAGCTTCGAAAAATCAACCCCGAAAGAAGAATCATCCTCCACCAAGACAATGCAAGCTCGCACACAGCCCAAAAAACAAGGCAGTACTTAACGGAAGAAAACGTGGAACTATTGGACCATCCTCCATATAGTCCCGAACTAAGTCCTAACGATTTCTTTACTTTCCCGAAAATTAAAAACAGACTGCGTGGTCAATGGTTCCAGTCACCAGGAGAAGCAGTTGACGCATTCAAAAATGCTGTTATGGATCTGCCAGCAGACGAGGAATAAGTGCTTCGAAAATTGGTTCGAGCGCATGCAGATGTGTATTAATCTTCGTGGAGAATACTTCGAAAAACAATAAAGTCATTTAAAACTACCTACCGTGTTGTATTATTTCCATATGCAAAACTTAAACGACATCCCTCATAGATAGATAGATACAATATTCAAAGGACATCTCATTTTCGAAATTGTCCATAATTACAATAGTTCCACGCCAATTGACCTGGGAACTGAAAACAAAGCTCACAATGTTGAACCTTTATTTTTTTTTCCAGGGGGCCTAAAGAAGCTAATATGTGGGCATGACAATACTGATGATAGATAGTCACAGTTTAGTGTTTTTGATATCAAGGTTGAGCATTCTGAAGGAAAATTGTTATCAGGGTTTTCAGTACAGTGTGGATTTCTTGTCCCTATGGCTTCAAAGTGCCCACAATCTGGCTGCAATAACAGTAGCACTAGCACGCTGGGACGATTAAAAACAAACAGTCAAATCCCTTTGTTACCGGATATAGCCATGCATAGAACATGCAGATTCAGTAACGGGTTTGACAATATTTTAAAGGGTTTTGATGTATTAAAATTAATTCCAAAATTCGCTTCGGTCAACAGCCTTTTCTCACTACTAATCTGAGAAGTCGCATTTCTTTATGGAGGCGTTAACTTAAATATTTTCAAATCATACTACGAAAGACAAAACTCCAATATGTATTGAATAAAAAATAATTTATGAAATGATTTTAGAGAGAAAATACCCAGTCAAGAACCTTAGTGTATGGTTGGCTACAAGTTCCAGCTTCAAGGAGCATATACATGAAAAAGTCAGTAAATGTGGAAAATTGTACGCATTCAAAGTAATAAATTGTAAATTACCAAACATCATGGCAATGGCGAGTAGACAACATCTACTTTACAGCCAGAATTATCAGTCATCTAGCGGTTACGGGGTGACTTGGCTATTAAAGACAAACTGAGATCCCTAACAGTTCCCACAGCGGTCGATTCAGGCGTGATAGATGGCGCTTTGTGCTGTCTTATATTGTATTGTTAACCGGCGTTAGGCAGCAGCGGTGGCCGCATTGGTAGATGCTTCGTCTCCTGATCAGTCGCCATGCGTTGCGAGGGTTCGAATCCCGTTCCAAGAGAAATTATTTTATTGGCTATGTATGTTGAGATTGTCCGTAGGTGGTAGATGGTCTCTGACTGTCGAACGCGGAGGTACCGACGGTCCCATGGGTGTTTAGGCCTTAGGCCTTCATGGTAGCTGGAGCATAAAAAAAAGGTAAATCATTAAAAACACTATTACGAGTAGCAGAAGATCCCAACCAGAAGCGACCTGCAGCCATTTGTTTATTGGATGAAAAGTATTTTATTTCAAATTGATATCGCCAGTGGGTTGGCTAAAAAATTCCGGGTGAGAAATGATGAAATATTGAAAAATAACTTTTCATTAAAAGTTGCACTTATAACTTTGAAAAATAAATTTAATATGAACCGAAATATAAAAATCCAATTTGTTTTGAATACAAAATTAACGAACTGACTCTAGAAAGAAAATAACTGGTCAAGGACGGTAGTGTATGGCTTGGCACAACCCAAAGCTTCAAGGAGCATATACAGTAAAAAGTAGAAAATTGTACGAGTTGAATGTAGTAAAAATAGTAAGTTGTTAACCGCCATTAAACCTTTGAAATCACTATATTTTGCGTTTGTTAGAATATTCTTCATTTGTTTCGAAGCTTTATTATAGTGTTCGACTGAACTTTCGGCTTCGGCCAGTTTCGGTCCAAAATCAGATTTTCGGCTTCGGCAAATTTATTCAGACCAAAGGTCAAATTTGCTAGAGGAAAAGGTTGAATAAAATTGTTATTTATGTTATTTAATATCAGATTATTCAATTATGATTATTATATTACATTCTAATGACCTGTTGGACCAACATTGAATTTGAATTTTGTAAGACTACAGAAATCTAGGGCCCTTTTTATGTATCCTAAGATAGTAGACAACTCACAAATGATTGGGGAACTCCAATTCAGGCTTAAGTGCAGGCAGAGTATTCAAAACTGTTTGTTTAAACTAAATTTTCAGAAACCTGAAAAATTTAGTAATCTCTTGGAAATAGACTTTGTTGGTATTAAATAACTCTTCTATAAAACCACTATTTATTAGTCCAAGTATACCAAAATCATCGTTTAAAATATCATTACGGCCCATAAAATCTATTTTGCAGACTAAAATAAATTAGACGGTCTTTCATAATAATAACCGACTTTTATATCAGGCGAAGTCTAGCTACAAGCTACTCTACCACTTAACCCTTGAAAATAACTAGCACTAGAATATTGAAAACAATTTTAACAAAATATTCTTCCAAAATTTAAACAAAAATTACATATTGAATACAACCTACTCATGAGTGTACAAAAAGAAAGAAAAAACTATAAACGATTTATATAATATGCAAAAATATGATTAAATTATATAGTGGGGGTTTCAGATTTGAGCATCAAAGATCATTAATTTGTTTAATTTGTTGTTTGAAATTACGTAGGAGTACGTACGTGTCTGTGAACATAGCATAAGATATGAAGCTTATACAATTTTGCAACATTCAACCAGTTCAAGTATTTCTAAACCTAATTTTTTTACTAATTCTTCTATCCAATAAGATGACCGTTTAGAGTTGACGTTCAAATTATTTTTAATAAGGAAGCTTAGTTTTTAGGAGAAAAAAAGATAGCTTTGGATTTAGAGGGACTATTCTGTTGCATAATTTTCAATAGAATTTAGGTCCTCTATGCTTTGTGCTTCCGAAATTTCTAAATTTTCGTGATTGAAGCTATAATATAATTGTGAGTGGTCAGCAAAAAACTGAAGACTACAAAATTTCACAACCACGTTCACATCTGCTATATACAAAATAAAGAGAGGTGGTCCAAGAACTGCTCCTTGAGGCACTCCCGAGGAATTCAGATGTTTTGCAGAAAATTTTGAATCAACGACTACCTTTTGGGATATGTTTATCATAAAGCTGCGTATTAAACTCAGTAAGGAATCATTGAAACCATAATGCTTGCATTTAGCAATCAAAAGAGATTTATCGTACCGAACGCCTTTGTGAAATCCAAGAGAACTAATGGTGTAACTAAATGGTGATCCCAGGCTCTGACAATATTCGCCTTTCCGAAATCGACACCGTTTTTCAGATAGAATCCCATGTTCTAAAATATAACCATTCATTTGAATGTACATAGATTTTTTCAATAATTTCAAAAGTGTAGGTAGGTAAAATATACTAAGTGACATATAAATCCGAACACCCAGTTTAAATGGTTTTATTTTAATAAAATTTTGTACAAGTACTTAATAAAGCATAATAAGTAAATGATAAAAATTTCAAAATGATTGCACTGCTTTAAAGCCCTTTGACCTTTAATAATGTGTGGATGCACCCTGATGTGCGACGCATTCTCCAACGCGCCTAGGCATGCTTCTGATCAGGTGGTCAATGTCCTCCTGTGGTATCTCATTCCAGGCAACCACCAACTCCTCTCGAAGTGCTTCTAGAGTCTGAGGAGGAAGTTGCAAATTGAGCAATCTCCTACCCATCATATCCCACATGTGCTCAATCGGGGATAAGTCGGGAGATCTTGGTGGCCATGGTAACAATGTGATATCATTATGTTGAAAGAAGTCTATTGTGACTCTTGCAACATATGGTCGGGCATTATCTTGTTGGAAAGTTGGATCTGCCAGGGTGTCAAGATAGGGTAAAAGATGGGGTTCTAGAACTTCGTGGATATAATGCTGCGCGTTCATGTTACCTCTGATGAAGATTAACGGTGACCTGGAACCATAAGCTATAGCACCCCAAACCATAACTCCAACAGTGTGATGAACATGTCTTTCAACAAAAAACTGTGGATTCCTCCTTCCACCACGTCGCCTTTTAACCCTGGCACGACCATCGTGCATGCCTAAACAAATTCGAGACTCGTCACTAAAGACAATACTGTACCATTCCTGATCCCAAAGTGACTGTTGTCTGCACCACTCAAGGCGATTACGTCGATGTTCTCGAGTTAAAGGGAGGACCCAGTGTGGCCGGTATGAAAACAAGCCAAAGCTTCTCATTCGTCGGTAAACACTTCGCATGCCAATAGGTCTTCCGTGTTCTGCAAACCATTCATTTGCAATGGACCTGGTAGTGGAGAAACGGTCCCTTAAGGCCAATAATCTTAGGCGGCGATCTTCGCGGTCTGTTGTTTTACGGCGGCGTCTAGTGCCCCTTGCTCTTTGCGTACGGCCTTCTCGAAGCCATGCCTGTCAACACCTAACCACAGTGTCTACACTTCTTTGCACTCTAACTGCAACTGCCCGAAAAGAAGTCCAGCTTCCCGAAGTCCCACTATCCGGCCCCTATCAAACTCACTAAGTTGACAAAATCGTACAGGTCTCCGTACTCTAGGCATCGTAACCGATCGTAAAGGATGTCAAGAACCAAAATCCGCCAACGTTGATTCTTTACTGCGGCTGAAATATTCATTTTTAGAGCGTTAGTGAATTAAAAAAAAGCAGTATAAAAGCCGGAATGTCCAACTGGTAAGGCTGAAAATTTTTTCACTTGTTATTTACAGTAAGATAAATACATTTTCACCAACTTTTATTAAAATAAAACCATTTAAACTGGGTGTTCGGATTTATATGTCACTTAGTATACTTAAGTCTGTACATGGGTTTGGATTGTTAATTTTCGATAGTGGTAAAATGAGAGCTTTTTTCCATAAATTTGGAAACATACCTCCTTCTAAGCAATAATTTATTCTATGCAGGATGTGTGAAGAAATTGCGGGGTAACATAATTTTACCACACTGAGTGATACACCATCAGTTCCCAAGGCATTCGATTTTAACAATGTAATAACTGATGAGCTTAAAACTAAACACGATTTAAATAGCGATGTTTTTCTTAGTATTGAATTTTTTCTTTGCAGGTCTTTAAACACTAAAAATTGATCGTTAAAGTTAAACACAGCTTACAAAATTTAAAACGGGGTTCAAGTACTGGTGCAATAG